GGGAAAATCATCTATTGGTGATGGTATGTTCAAGTCTAGAGTAGAAATTAAAGATCTAGTCCTCAACTTGTGGGGTTGTATATCGTTTAATCTACTGCTACTATTCCCTTCTTCCTTCTCAGTGGCAACAACGCTCAATGGCTCAATAGTGGCGCCACGGGAAGTTGATGCCCTCCAATGACATTGCATGTGCCCGCCAAGTGCCTGGCCTGATGCAAACTGTCGTTTACAAGTTAAGAATTCGTGTACTTTGGGTTTTTTCTTTGGCAGTGGCAAATGTGATGAGGTAACTACACACGGAACAATTGGTAGTCATATTTTCATAGGAAGATCTGGCTTGATTATTTTGATGATTTCTATTGTTGCTTTCATCTTCAATTGCTGTGAACTTCATCCTCTTGGGTGACCTGATTTCAACCCGAGTTGCAAAACAGCCCTCAATTTCCTTATGGCTAGCCCGATGGCCGCCGAGTGCTTGATGTGAGGTAAATATTTTTTGACAAGTCTTGCATTCAAAAAGTTTACGCGCATTTTGAGGCGTTTGTGTTGAGATGTGGGGTTTTGGGCCTTCTGGCTGAGGCAAAGAAGGCAGGAGGACGACATAATCAACATCCCTCCTTTCAGAAGTAGAGCATTCTGCTGAATCGGTATTGCGAAAAATAGGGTTGGCGCAGGCAGTGGAGAGCATGACAAGACAATTAGCGACACACTCTTCTTCAGTAAGCACAAGAGGCTGAGTGGGAATTTTGGATTGGGAGAGTGAAGGAGAAAAAAGGCCATTTGAGTTGTCATTCTCGCCATCATCCCCACCAGCACCAACGAGACCACGACAACAGTGCTTGGACAATGATTTCAACGAACAAAATTCTTTGCGGCAATTTTGGAAAATGTGACTAGTAGGGAGGCAGTTGCCGTCAGAGGAGTCTCCTTCAACTCCTGTGGTGGATGGACTTTTGTTCGGGTGAAGGATGGGTTTATTGAACATCCCGTGGATTTGCATATGCCCTCCAAGCGCTCTCCCATTACTGAATCT